GCTTTTCTAACACTGTCTGTCTTTCTTATGAGCTACAACAAAATCAACAGCCTTTATTACACATTAGGGATAGCCCCAAAGTGAATAAGGCTCACAAACAGCTGTTTTTATGTTTGCTGGGAATGAGTCAGAGAGTGAAATTTAAATGCAAATTAAATTCCACATAGCAGTGCCCTTCCTGTAACGGCAGAGGCAGTAGGCTGTTTGCGTACACTATGGTTGGAGCTCTACATCAGCTTTATTTGGGAACTCAATGTCTTCCAACATCCATCAAATCTAGGCTTTGTCAGCACTATTCTCCAGAGACACACAGAGAGAGAGAGAGAGAGAGAGAGAGAGAGAGAGAGAGAGAGAGAGAGAGAGAGGGTGGGGAGTTGTGTAAAGCTACATGAGTCACACATGTCGCAAAAAACGGTGCTCAGAAGCTTTCATAATTCATCAAATGTAGATAGGATTTTTTTTTTTTAAATCCTCAACCCACAAACAGGTCTTAAATGATCTGATCCGTTTCCATTTACTCTCATCTCACAAAATACAAATTTGTATATATGAACACTGCTGACAACTGGCTGCTTTTTATTTTCAATAGAAGTATACAGCAAGAAAAAGCCAAAAAAGGTTAGATTCTACAGAAGCATCTTTTTCATTGCTGCCTTTTTCCACTGAAAGGGGTGGCTCCTCTCTACCCTCCTAAAAAACACTGTTGCTGGTTGTGCATGCCCATATTAATCCAGAAAAAGCAGCAGCTCCAGCAGCTCCTCCTCCCCTCTGACGCTGAGGCATGCAGGCCCTCTGACAGATGATTCATGGGCCCCGGCCTCCTGAGCGGGGCTGCTGATTGGTGGTTGTGCTTGCTGTGACCCAGGGAGGCAGCTATGAGGTGCTGGCACACTCACACAGCTCCAGGGAAGGACTACGAAGTCATGCAGTACACTCATGCCTCTGACTGTTCTCTAGTATATCTGCAGAGCCCATAACAGCAAGGGTCTCTGTCAGAGATGCTTTGGCACGCATGTTTTCATCTGGGTTATGCTAAGGGTGTTCAAATACTGGAGATGAGGGGTGTGGGCTAAGAATTATAGGACACATGCGCTGAAAGTCACCCCCTCCTCAGTTTTCTTCTCATCTACTCTCCCAAAACGTATACATCATTACAGTGCAAGTATATATTTAATTATCAATTATCAGGAACATTGAGCTAATTAAAATGATTAGTGCCTTGACTAATGTTTATTCAATCTGCCAATTAGATTCTTGATTAATCAATTAATCTAGTTTTGTCTATCAGATATCAGGAAATAGGGGGAAAAAGCCTGTTGTGATTTTCCACAGCCAAAGGGGACCTCCTTGGATCACTTGTTTAGTTAGCGCATCAGATGATGTTGGTGTTTTTGCTTAAAAAATGGTTGAACTGATAATCAAAATAGTTTGCAGATTGTTTTTCTGTCAATCAGTTAATTAATTAATTGACTAATTGTTGCAGCTCTAGGAATGATTTTGGCACTATGTTGCTAAGTGGCTGCTGTAAGCATAAACAATAATCTGAACCAGCCAGAACGAGTTCATAACATTATATCACTGTGTAACTTTTAAGTGCTGTGGGGCCTACATAGGTAATTAGCAGTACTATTCCCACCACTGTGGGGCCCCATCTGTAGAGACGCGCCACTGGAAATATTTGGCATATTTGCCTGATAAATGACAAACGATCAATTGATTAGTAGAATAGTTGCTGTAGTTGCTAATTGATTACGCCCATAATTGTTTTAAACCTAAATGGATCTGGACAAATGTATCTGTGAAAATCTTAATATATTTTAAAGACAGGGTATAATATCTTATGTAGGTCTTGTTTAATGATATCCCCCCAAAAATAAAAACTTTCTCTTTAAGATGCAGAAATTTTACAATCTTTGAGCTAAATTAAATAATTCAGGAAATCTATTTACACTGTTTTCTTCATAGATAAACAAATAAATGAATCGTTAGCTGGCTCCATCAACTGCTGAAGGAGATGGCGCACATGAGGGAGAGGTTATAATCTGTACATAGTAAGCAGAGGTCATGTCCTCTGAGAAGGATTTGACAAATTGTCATTATTTTCCTCAGTGGACTGACACAGTGTTACTACAACAGTGACGTAACACATCCTGCTGGTGTGTCCTGCTCAGGCCTGCTGGGGCAGTATCAGCACCACCATCAGGATACAAGACTCCTCAATATTAACCTCAGTCATTATGTGAATCAATTTAGTATTTATTAGACCTGAGGTGGAGTTATTGTAATATTTCTAGGGAAAAGAAAAAAACACATCTGATTGTAAACCCTCATGAGACAGGGTTCAACTGTGAACCTTTCTTTCTAAGAGTGTAGAGCCACATCCATTATTAAGCCCCATGCAGCTTTATGACCTCTGTGTAACAGAAGGTCACAAATCTGTCAGGAACAGACATGGCAATGTTATTTATTGCAAATGATACAAGTCACAAGTGTTTCATCCATAACAATATGGTATTCCTGTGGAAAGATTTGTTTTTATTAAAATGGAAAATATTAATTACAGTAGCCCATAAACATGTCAAATGGAGGACTTACCCACTGTAGAATTTTTATAAATCCCAGAGGTTGTTTGAGTACCGTGAACTGCCCTTGGGCCACCAACTGCCAAAACAAACCAAAAAATCAGCAATTAGCAGAGTTTATTATTAACTTTTCACACTGACTCTTGCTGTGCAAAATCAGCCTCCATCAGCAGACCAGGCATTATGATGATATGATGATGATGCTGATTAAAAACATGAAACTAAATTACCTCAGTCTGGTAGCCCACAGGCCTGGTCTACTGCTGCCACTTGCAGGTGTTTGTTATATGGCAAATATCTGCTAGAGAATAAAGTGACTTAAGTGTCACAGCCGGCATCTCTGAGGCCATAAGAGATACTGCACAACTACAGTACAGTCATTTTGACTTCAAACGCTGTGGTATGTGTGTGTGTGTGTGTGTGTGTGTGTGCGTGTGTGAGAGAGAGAGAGCTCCTGACAGCATAACAATTAGACAAAGCTGATTAACTGACTGTTTCTCTGCTCTCTTCCTGCACACTTCCCAACAGTATTTAAATAATAAATACATTGGTGAGAAAATCTCGCGAAATCTGACTAATTGATTAGGGGGGAAAGGAGGACGCATTTGTGCGCAGGTGAATGCGACATTGCAAAAGGAGGCTGTGTGTTCCTGTGTACATCAATAAATGGCCGCACTGGAATAAGCAGCAGTGATGGTTTTCTCTCTTAGGCTGAGGGGCTCATTGTTTCTCCACATACCCGATGCTATGGATGCCAAACATCCATATTAAACAGATGACGCATGCATTAACAAAATCATGTTTCAGAGAAGTCTGGCAGCCTGACATCCTCTCATTTCTTAAGAAAGCCTTAATGGCTATGTCACAAACAACACAACTATCTGAGTGATGAGTTGTTCGTGGTCATAGGGGTGCAGGAGACAGTCCTCATGCGCGTCAGGCCTACTGCGGCTATCCGAAAAAAAATAAAAAATAAATCAGATTCCCGTTTGTTATCTTAGCAACAGCAGGCCAATTGATACGTGAGCGGTCTAAATCAATTAGCCGAATCCCTGGAGATAATAGGCTGCATCATCTCCTTCCTTACGCTAAATGTCATCGCTGCAGCAATCTCTGGACATCCTACACATTTCTGGACCGTCAGCGGGCCGCTCCATCACATGGACTCCAGCTTTAGTCGTGAAAAATTTTCCAGTTACATCGCCATCTGTTTTACATTTACACCACTGCAATTTGTAACCTAGAAAAATGCACATTACTATTTCGACTCCAAGGGATCGCAAGCATTGCATTAAACCCTTAAGCTCGGCAGATCTATGAGACAAAAATATATATTTATTTGAGCACACTACAAAGGAAATTTTGCCTTAATGAAAGAACATGAGCAACCGAACAAAACACAAATGAAATAGCTGATTTTCTCCCCAGAGCCTTACCTGGTTTACAACATCCATCTTGGCCGCTTACTCGCTGATAAGAGGATCAGAGGGGCGGAGGGAGGGAGGCGTCTCATCTGGAACAGCCCAGGGGAGGAAGACGCCCAGGAGGAAGAGTTGTGGCTGCGTCACCGACCTGGGCGAAGGACGTGTGAAGCGTAGTGACGTCACATAAATCATTGGACGGTGGAGTAAAGACGAGCCGAGCCGTCTGTCCAATCGCAGCGCTGCTTTATTCTAAGGGGGAGCAGAGATTGCCCGGCGGTTATAATACAGAGAGGAGCGAGCGACTGTTCACGCTTTAGTAGACAGAAGGAGGAATGTAAAAGGGGAAATAACAAGGCCGGTGAGGGCTCGTGAACTGCTGCTGGTCATTAATCTGACATCAACACAAAGTATTTTTAGAACTCTATAGCTCCTCTTTTAGTAGGTTAACTCTTATAGGGAAGGTTTATTTTGCACATTAAAAGGACGGGGAAAGTTCAGAGAGGGTTCAGATGGTAAATGGTCTGTACTACTCAAAGCACGTACATCATATTCACTTGGCTAAGGTGCGAACTGCTCATCAGAAACAGAAATTAACATTCACACACCGATGGCACAGCAATTATGGTGTTCAGTATCTTGCCCAGGGACACTTGACATGCAGACTGGGGGAGTTGGGGGATCAGATGCTCTGCTACATCCATGCAAATACTATAAAGGATGAATGTGTGCAATTTAACATTGAAAAAAAGACACAGATGTTTTACTGTTCTGCATGATTCTTTTTTCTCTAAAAAGGGAAGTGAAAACCAGATGTTGTCCATCTGCTGGTCCATTAATGGCTGATTATATAATGCACTCTTTTGTATTTTGCTGCGGTTTTCAACATTACCATTATAGCACTGTTGTAAAATAAAACATGCTTCAGTACACTGTTTGGAACGAGTGGTTATAACTGCTCAAGAATAAACAAAAAGAGAAAAAAACACAGGCTACATTTGAGAAAACATAATGCTTTATTTTTAGTCAACTCCACAAACAAAACTTTGCTACGAGTTTGCACATTTAATATTAGAGGACATTCAATATTCGGTGTATTTAAATATTTCTCTAAAATAGCAAATGCTGTTCAGCACTCAAAAGTAAATGGTTTCAACTGGATCTTGTTATTAGTGTAACAAAGTATAAATGTTTCATTGGCCTTATATATATATATATATTCTAATTTTACAGTTTATACAGGTGTATAAAGTGACAACAATTCAAGTATGGTACAAAGTGAGAATACAATGCAAAAAATGGTCATAATAATGCTAAGAGCCACAGTTTTCCGTCACATGCAGCAGTCTCTTATGCAAAACACTGTAGTCGTAGTATTATATAGTGCTTACCTTGTTGAGACCTGCCACATACTGACATCCACTTAAAATCAGTATGTGTGTGATTATGTGGTGTGTGTGTGTGTGTGTGTGTGTGTGTGTGTGTGTTTTGGCATTCATAAATAAAAGCTTGTCTTAACCAACTCAACATTTTACCCTCAGACAACAAAGTTGAGAGAATTAAGGTCCCATTTGTATCACATCATCCTTCCACTTTTCCCCACAGCAGATCTAAACACACATCACATGAAAGATTTTGTTCTTTTTTTGCACAATCTTCATACCTCACTTTCTCTCACAGTTATTTCGGTTTTGCTGATCTCAGTAGGAAATCACACAATTCATTTCATCGGCCAGTTCATCCTCAAAGCGAGAAATCGACTGACTGGCTCCGCGAGCTATGAGGTCAGCAGCAGTGCTCTCCATCTCGTCCAGGCTCATGTGGCAGGCTTCGGCAATCTCCCGCTTGGCAAAGCTAACAAACTTCGGGTCCCTGGCGTAGATGCCGAGACCCTCGGAGATCAAGATCTGACACAAGCAAGGGAGAAATAGAAGCAGAGTAACAATGACGTAAAACAGGGATTATGTTTTTAGTAATAGTCTATGTGATTATGTTTATATCCAATGCACAGAGGATTTTATCAGCTGAAAGACTCACTTAGTCAAATTGAAATGCCATCTAGTCACCAGTGAGTGGTAACTTTATTTCTGTTACCACAATGTAAATAGTACAGTAACAGCAAATGGACAGTGGCAGAAAGTAACCAAATACATTTACTCAAGTCCCGTACTTAAGTTACAATTATCTGTTATTATTACTCACCGACTCGACCAGACTGTCTGCACTGCCTCTGTCTACAAAGCCCTGGTTAACCGGTGGTGGTCTTGTGTTGGTGAAGGTCCTCGTCTGACCGGGATACCAGCCAGGACGGCGTCCTACAGGGAGGCTAGCAGAGCCGTCGCTCCACAGCGGCTGGCTGGTGCCTGTGGCTTCATCCACCAGGATCATAGGGGTGTAGATGAGTTTACCCCTGCGTCCCGAGGGGGGAATCATTCCTGGAACAGGAGTGGTGCCAGCTGCTGCTGTGTTCACCCAGGATGTGGATGACATCGAGGACACGCTGCTGGGCCGGGAGTCCAGGCTGTGCTGGGTCTGACACAAGAGAGCGAGAGCAGGAAAAGACAAGTCAAACAAGATGAGACACACTATTTGTATGAACAAAAACATTTTGAGATGTGCGTGTGCTATTGTTTTACCTGTAGACGGGATCTGGATGGTGATGTGTTCCCACGGTAGTTCCCTGGGATAGGCAGCTGGTCGTCCACACTGCTCTGTGGCCTCAGACACTGGAAGTTAAAGGCAGGCTTACGACCTGAAACAATAAGCAGGGGAGTGTTAGCAAACTTGCCAGGGTGCAAAACTATAATCCTGCGTGGAGAGATTTAGTATTAGCTTTTGCTTGCATTGTCTGTATGCAAAGGATGTGCAAACTAAAATGGGGAATGAAGTTGCTCTTTAAAGCCCTCATCATTTCAGTTGATACTCTGATTTCATGCAAATCCACAGACAAATGTGCAGCTAATAAAACTACCACAAATCACCTGACACACAATGTAAGTCTAGGCAGTTGCCCGCTTTACCTGTTTGCTAATCCAGCCGTGTGGATTAATAATGAGAGTCTCCGACATCACAGCAATGCATGCATATATAATCTTATTTTTCCACAGAAAAGTTACCAGACAAAATAAACTGTTGTTTCTTAGTGAACATATTTTTGATAAATCTAGTAGCAGACTCATCGTTATTATTAAAAAGTCCTGTAATACAAATCAGACAATGGAATGTAGGTCTGCAACTTTTATTTATTAAGATTATTTTCATTCTCTACGAATTGTTTGGACTATAAAATATCATAAAACAGTGAAAAATTGCAATCACAATTTCCTAGAAGTGACACAATCTAAATCAGATGTCTTGTTTTGTTTAAATAGCAGTCCAAACCCAAATGACAATAAATTTACCATAATTTAAAACAAATAAGTCCTCATTATTGACAATTTTGAACCATAAAATGTTTGGGGGTTTTTTGCTTGACAAATTACTTGTTTATCATGATAGTTGCAGATGAATTTTCGGTCGATCAATAATTGCAGCTCTAATGGCATGTTAGTTGCTAAAATAATGTAACTCTGCACACTTTAAACACATGTGCAATGGAGCAGGAGAAGAAAACACCAAAAAGAAAATGTACATATGTTTCTCACCTTTCGGTATGGAAGGAAGTAGCCGTCTCCTGACAAACTGTGCACTACCATTCTCATTCCCATTGTAACCACAGACGGTGCTGTCATTTCCATTGAAGCCGCTCATTATACTTCCATTACCATTGGCGCTGATGACACTGCCGTTTTCATCGTAGCCTGTGTATCCGTTCCCATTATATTCACTTGTGCTATAGGGTGTGGGGCTTGCAGCAACACTCTCTCCATTCATGTTGGTGCCACCATAGCCATTCCCAACAAAGCCATTGGCATCATGAGTATCATAGGTTATCTCCCCAATGCTGCTAGCTCTTTCCAGGCTGTGTTCATTGTAGACTGTCTCAGTTGGTACAGGAGAGACAGCTTCTGGATACACATACCTGTAAGATCCATGACAAGAGTTTTAGATTATTAAATATTTTAACAGGAAACTTGCTTATAAACTTTCCTGCAGAATTAGAAAATAAGATTGATTCCCCTCTCATGTCTGTCTGTCATGTGAATCCAGGAAACAGTTAGCTTAGCTTAGCATAAAGACTGGAAAAAGGGGGAACCAGCTAGCCCGTCTCAATCTAAAGGTGAAAACATCTGCCAGCACCTCTAAAGATCACTAATTAACATATTATATTAACAGAAGTGTAAATACAGAAAACTCAGTTAACCACCTACTAGTATTGATCTGCTCATCACTCTTGGCAATAAAGCGAATGAGACTATTCAAAATGTTACTTTATTTATTCATTTATTATATATATATGGTATCTCGCTCCTCACTCTCTTGCTTGTTTCTTACCCTTCTACTGATGCTAGATGTGCAGCATCTCCTTCACTGCTATAAACCTGCTCAGCTACTACAGCTGTAGCTGCCACGAGTGGTTCTTCAACTATAACTTCTCCTCCACCTACTATCTCTTGGGTAGGAGGAGGAGGAGGAGGAGGAGGAGGAGGAGGAGGAGGAGGAGGCAACTCACTGATGGAAATCCACCCTGAACAGGAGAAACAGGCAGAAGAAACAATTCATTATGTCTTTCTAAACATTTACAGTACCAATGACAGCTTTATATAAAATGAGAGATACACACCTAATGGGCAGGGGTTCGGACCTCACAGGCTGTTCTGTTACAATGCTGATGCCTACCAGCTCTGATCCTGGTCTCTCATGCTCCTGCAGGCCCATGACCTGCTCTGTGATCACATCCCAGTTGGCTGTCTTGGACTCAGGTTCCATGATCACAGTTGTCTGCTCCACAAGTGTATCTATGCGCGGCAATGGTGTGCTGGCGGGCGTGGTATTCACTGAGGTTCCGGGCTCACTGTCGAATATATCATCACCTGTCATCTCTCCATCCACACCCTCCTCTTCTTCCAGGTCACAGGCCATTGCCAGACGCATCTCTGGAGCGAGGTCCTGCAGCGTCCGCAGTCCTTGCTGAGAACACAGAAATATACTTATAAACATTAACATACAGTAAGCACCTCAATTGTTAAGACTAAGTGACAAATATCCATAAAGCAACACCAAAGTTAAAGTCTTCCTCCTCTCAAATATGTGTTTTTCTTATTGTTACGTCATGTGGATGTTTGATCTTCTCTATGCAGAATGATGTGAGCAGGATGTTTTCACATTCACCAGCTGAAGAGGGAAAGTCTCTCTTTGCTCACCTCAATTGTGGGTTTGTGAATGAGCATGATTTTATGACAACTAATTAGAAAGCCAGTCCCGGTCCAGCAAGTAACTTACAAAACTGTGATGTGGAAACTTGAAACCACCAGTTCACATACCCTGAGATATGGGACATATCTTGTGTCTAGTAGTTAATTTCTGAAATAACATAAGTATTTGCATATGGATTTGTCACAGTGGAGAATGAGTGGATTTTTAACAAGGTCATTGAACTATTATGATTGAAAAAACATATAAGACACATTACTATGTGTGTGTAAAAAAGTCAAAAGCACAAGTTAAGTCACCTGCAGAGAAGCCGCCTTGTCCTTCTTTTTGGATTTCCTCTCCCTCTCCTTTCTCTTGCGGAACTTTTTAAAATAGTCCTGAATCAAGAAGCTGGCGTAAAACTTTCCACAAGTCACCGCATCCCCTAAGAAGGAAAAACAAACGCTAAGGTTGGAGGTTAAAATGGAACAGATCGATGATGAGAAGTGCATATGTCTTAAATGTTTCTTGTATTCAGACAGAATCTTTTGAAAGCAGATTATTTTCTAAGGCAGGCATGTTACTTTCTATAATGGCAAAGGTTGTGCACTGGTTTCTGGTTTCTGGTTTTATCATTTTTTCATCATGTCTTGCAGCTATGTAATTTTTTGGCGTACCTCTAGGGGGAGGAATCACTTCATCAATTAGCTTGGGCTTGGTGTGCTTCCAGAGCTTCTTAATGATCAGCTTCAGCTCTTCATTTTGCTGGTCGATGGGGCCTGAGAGAGACAAAAGCAACAAATCCTTTAAAGGAAACAGCACCCTAACAACACTAAGAACTTAAAGAAGTACAATAAGCATGCACTGGTTTCTGTCTGTGTATGTAATCTAACCTTCAGTCTTGATCTTGAGCGAGGTTCGCACGAGAGCAAACAGAGTAGCATTGAAGGTGACTGTCCCATCTGAGTGCAGTGGGACGTTCATAGCAACCAGTCTCTAAGAGGACAAGACGATGAGGCACAATGAGTGAGATCTTTTATTTTTTCTAGCATCAAGTGTGCAGCACTGAAGTTGTGCTGACTTACCTTGCAAGCAACACGATGAGGACATAATTTTCCAAAACCAAGAGGTGGCTGAATCCTGCGCAGCATAGTGACAACATCAATGTGCTTTATACGGCCGCTGCAAGAAGAAACAGAAGGGCAGACATTTACTGACAGATAAGAATATTCTGGAAACAAACAGAGTAGCTCGGCAAAAGTAGAAGAAGGTTAAAGAGAAATTAGTCTTACGTGGCCTCTGGATCGTAGTCAGACCAAACTCTCTTAAACTCGTCCAGGTGGTGAGTACCGAGCACAGTCCAGTCGCGTGTCAAGTATTCAAAGTTGTCCATGATGACGGCAATGAACAAGTTGATAATCTTGATAGAGAACAGAACAGAAACTTGTAACCAACATGTTGTTTATAAAACAAGATTTGTTAATTGAACAGGGCATGTTGTGATTAAAATACTGTATCAACTGAAATTGACTCCATGTGTTTTAAGGCAAATTAACATGAATGACTAAAACAAGTAAGAATTCATTACTCTCGTTGGAAATGGTTGACACTACATTTTCACAAGTGTGTAGTTGTTTCCTTTTAAGTGCATGTGATGTGACTATCAGAGCTGTCTTCGATAATGACTGATACTGTCCATGCAGTTCTGTTAACTTTGCAAAAACCCAAGAGGACAAAAGAGTTCTGGGTCTATCCCAGTCCATCTATGCTCAAGGTCAAAGACCACACACACAGACTGATGAATGTCAGCTGTCCACAAGAGAAGAAACCACAGAAGGAATGTAAGACACACATAGAACCTGTTTTTTAAGAAAAGAGCTGAGACTGAGAAAATAATCCAACCAAGGAGGAGATTATGGTCAATAGTGGTCTCAAACATTTTGACATTTTAAAATGGAGTGCATTCAATTTGTAATGTAAAGGAGAACAAGGGTTAGAATTGGGCATTTCAAAATAAGGAAATCATAATATTGCACACGTTGAGATGTTTGGCCTCTTTTTAAATGTAGGTGGTGCTATGACACTTCATGTGAATTTAAGGTCCTCTGCACCATGTAGATTTTACACTCTATTATTAGATGACATTGATTATCTTAATAATTAATTGATAATTATCTTAATTATCTTAATTTATAATAGGCAGTACTGTATTTCCCAGTCTCACTTTTACGATTGGACTGCATCTGCTAAAAACAGTATGAGCCTCCACTTAAATTTTTTATACTTCAGCTTAGGCACTGTTCTGCTCTTGCACGTTCTCCAGGCTTAAAGTCACCTTGGTTTAACGTTTCTTATGTCTTAAAATAGCACAGAGGTCATGGAAATGTTACCAAAATACAGCATTTGCACCCTTTGAAATCAGGACTGTGATTTGCTGCTTGGATTAAGGGAATAAATCCATGGATGAGGGATTTCTCAAAGAGCTGGAGTTAGAAAAGACAAGGTTAGCTTTTAAAACTGTTACAACTCAGTTGTTGTAATACTATCCTCTCTACTTTCATTTGACTTTAATCCCACTTGACCTGACAGCCTGTAAGACACAAGCCTGAATTAATTATACCTAAATTTATTTTGGAGTCAGGAGGCTGTATTAAGTTATATCATAGAAGGGAAAGTGTTATACTACAAATGATCTGAGGACTGTGTGATTAAAACAAAACAGATAGAAAGGATCCTTAATCCTCCACAGCTTTGCTCACCAGGTAAGCACAGAGCATAAAGAAGCTGATGAAGTAGATGTAGGACAAGTTGCTACCGCAGGAGAACTCTTCGCCAGGCTCAGTGTCCGATTCTGGGTCACAGCGTCTACCGGGCAGAGCTGCCAACATGATCTCCTGCCACTGCTCTCCAGTGGCACACCTACAAGGACACAGAGACAGGGCAGCATTTTCATTTGACAGTTACTTAGACACAAAGATCAGAGTAAAATATTGTGTTGAGGCAAACAGCAGAAGTGCAGGCAATTTTTGAGCTGTTGTAAAAAATCTGTTTCTTTCTGGCTAAACTGGCTCACCTGAAGAGCACCAGAACAGCCATGAAGAAAGTCTGGAAGTTGCAGTTTCTGTTGATATGTGTGTCGTCATCAATGGCAACTTTCCCAAATGTCTGAAAGGAGAACAGTGTTGAATCTTTGTAAGAATCAGAATCAGGTTTTTTGACATGTAAGCTTTCACGTACAAACATAAGAGGAATTTGCCTTGGTATTTTGGTGCAAAATAGTAAGAATAAACATAGTAAGAGAAAAGAAAAACAATTAAAAGGCAAATCGAACTTTACTTAAACAAATATGTAAAATAGATCTGTTTTAAAATGAAAGCAAAGAGGAGGCAATGTGCAAAATATTGACCAAGGAAAGTGCAAATGTTCAAAGTATAAAGAACATAAAGAACTTGTTAAATAAAAATTTGCATTAGTTAGTTAGATGTGGAGACTTAATGTAATGTACGTTAATGTAACGTGTAGTTTTACGGGGCAGGATGAGAGTCTGGGTCAGTGGGAGTCCCACTAATGAAGTGAAGCACAATGTTTTGAATTGTTTATACAGTTTTGTTTAATATTAAGTAGTTAATTGATTGAAAAGTCTCGATTGATAAGAGAGACTCACCTGCATGCCAATCACAGCATAGATGAAAAAGATCATCGCAATGAGCAGACCAACATAAGGCAGGGCCTGAGCAGAGTAAAGTCAAGAGCTCAATTACAAAAAAGGAGTTTGCAAGTGTGTTGACAACATACTGTAGTAAATCCTTTGTGCTATGTGAATTACTCGCTCTGTGCTGCACTGACCTGGAGGGACTTGACAAAAGTCCAGAGGAGGGTTCGAATGCCCTCTCCTTTGCTGAGCAGTTTAACCAACCTCAAGACTCGAAATAAACGGAAGAACGTGATGGATACTTTTCCACTCTCTCCTTTGCCCTAGACAAAAACAGTTAATTAAATATGGTGTGTTACAGTGCTCACAGATTTTGAGTATAAATCCAAAACCTTTGGAGTTGCAGTGGTTGTGTTCAGCTCTCACCTCACCATGGCCGCCTCCTCCCTGGATTGATGTTTCAGGCAATCAAAAACAGGAGATTCCACATGAGAGGAAAGAGATTTTAAAAGCCATCAGGAACAGACACAAATGGTCACTAAAACTTAGGTCAAGAAACCATTTCAATGGATTTGGATTTTTCATGGTAAATTTATTCAGTTAACCGTTATATTTCTTGTGATATTGTTTCAAAGAAATACAAAATACAAAAATAGTACATTTATTCAAAAATACTGAAATTGGCCAATAAAACACCCTTACAAGTATAAATGCCATACCCAGATTAACTCCCTTTAAAGGAACACAAACTATTATGTATTATTATTCTGTGGTATTGAACAAACGTTAATGTTGTACATGCAGCTTGTTCCAGTTTTTAGATGGTCCTTAATGCCTTTTGATGAAATCATCAAGGTGGTCAATTGAGTTACCGGCCTCAGATGATTTATTTTGCGTCAAACTCATTGCTTTTACAGAGTTTAACTCAAAACAGAAAAGAGTACTGCTACAGGCTCTTTCACACCTTTATGTACCAATGACACTAGAATTCTGACTTAATTTTGATTTAATGATGAATAATTTTACATTTTTTAACAGCCGTAGAGAATGGAGCTGTAGAGGAAATACTGACTTACACAAGCTTTTGAAATGTGCCTGTAAAATAAACACACTCTTCTTTTCTTTTTACAGTGAATGGAAACTGGAAGTGTGAATAAACTTACGCTAAACTCAGAGACTGCAATATCCAACACGCTCCCCACAACAATCAAAGCATCAAATGAATTCCACGGATCAATGAAATAGTGCTGCAAAGGAAAGAATAAGCAAAGTTAGAGTCACAAACAGACGGTTCTGACAGCTGTCATGAATATTTTCAAAGGTAAAAGAGTGACACCTCACATGAGCCCGCAGAGCCAGTAACTTGATAATCATCTCTATAGTGAAAACCACAGTGAAGATCATGTTGAGGATGTCCATGATGGAGGTGAACAGTTTAGACTGCTCGTAATGCTGGGGGAGGAGCAGCAACAGCAAGACAAAACTTCACATCACAACACTGAAACAGGTTGATATTTCTGTATTTTAAGGCAGAGTTGTGAAATCATACCTGAATAGCCAGAGTGAGGGTGTTCCCCAGAATTAGCACAAACATGATGTATTCAAACTGGCTGGAGTTGATTATTTTCCAGAATTTGAGCTGTGATGGGTTTTTAGGAATGTAAATCTTTATTGGTTGAGCTTTCAGTGCGTAGTACACACACTGACGCTGGAAAGGGGGAAAAGAAGAGCATTACTCACTTTGAAAACATGTAGATTTAATATGTGTTTAATTGAAATAATAAAATAAAGTAACTAACTTGATTTTTGTTGAGTTCACAGTTTTTGAATTCAGCCTCCCCTTGCTCTCGAAATGTGATGATGACAAAACCCACAAATATGTTCATCATGAAGAAGGCAATGATGATGATGTAGATGATGAAAAAGATGGAGATTTCTACTCGGTAGTTGTAAATGGGCCCTCGGTTTATGGCGTTGGCATCCACGGCCCGGTAAAGGAGCCTTTATACAAAAAAATGGAGACGACACAATTCTTTGTCAAACACTGATTTAAATAAAAGCTTAAAGATTTAATTTTAATTAATTTTCTTATTACCAACACATGCCATGAAAAGTTAAAAAGGAAAATTAATCCTACTAACTACTGTTGTGTATTGTAAGTATTGTGTGTATAGCCAAAACCAGATATATCTTATTTATCTTTGCCATTGAACTCCATTGTTTTCCAAAAACTATTAAAAACACACCGATAAGCCACACTGTTTCACAGGGTGACATGTTCCTTCATTACCATCAACATGGGAATTGTATTTTATTTTGACTCAATCCCACATACATGATCACTATCGCTGTGTTCTATAGAGCACCAAATGTGTTTTAACAACATTAACAAATGCACTGTTACCTCCTGTTTTAGTAATGTTTTATTTTAACCTACAGTGCCCATCTGTTTCAGGGAATTACTGAGCCATTTTAAAATTTAAAAAAGTATATATACAAATCTTTATAGATTTACATCTTTAATAGGAACAGCAGACAGGATAGGGAAGTTAGAAAGTCTTAAGAGAAGGACTAACACAATTCTGTTTTATTTCTTTTCATGGACATTTGTTGCCAACAAAAATAATCCTTTGCACTAAAACTATGTAGAGTTACTACTCACTGTGGCCAGCCTTCAAATGTTGACACAGTGAACAAAGCTAGCATGCCCATCAGCACATTGTCAAAGTTGAAATCACTGTTTTCCCAAATCCTCTCTTTCACCATGGGGTGGTTCATATCCCCGTCTTTATAAACCACAAACGTCCCCCTAAAATTAAACACATACATGCATTGTTATGAAAGTGACAGCATGTTAAAAGACTATGAAGTGCTGTATATTGTGCAGAGAAATGAAGAAAAGAAAAATGACCTGCACTCCACAGGAGTGTGTTTGGCTTCGTCTGTGCAGCTGTAGAATCGGCCCTGTAACATTAAACATAGGAAGGTTAGACTAATAAAAGCTCACTGGCCACTTCCCTTTGAAATCCTGAGTGAGAGAAAAGTACACCCCAGTGACCACTTTATTAGGTACACAGGTATAATCTAATGCAGTCCCATGCAGCAGCTTTACCATAACATCTATCTATACAAAGCTTATGTTTATGTTGACACTGCTGGAAATGTGTAAATTCAACTAAATGTTTATAATTGAGGTGATTGTAAAAGTTGATGTTCTACTAGACAACATTATTTTGAGAGGTGTTTCAAATTTTTTGTCCTCAGCATGTACATTCATAAGGAGGGCAGAATATTAGAATCACTTTCAATGCATTGCAGTCCAGTACAACACCACAACTACGACCTCAGTGCTAAAACACATTTAAGTAACACTTCTATGACAGCATCAACAAAAACTGAACATTACAGGCATCATAAAAGATCCTTTACGGCAGAAACACTGACTACATTAGACTACACATTTGCGTCTAATAAAGTGGACACAAAGTGTAGAAATCAAAAGGCTGATAGCATAAAAAATGTACCTTGAAGAGCTGCACTCCAATACATGCAAACATGAACTGAAGGAGTGTTGTGACAATTAAGATGTTGCCGATGGTGCGGATCGCCACAAACACACACTGCACCACATTCTGTCAACATACGAGCAACAAAGGATGTGTGTCAGTTTTAAATAGCAACAAAATGCACTGGCTGACCACAAACATGCTAATTAAAATGTAACATTAATATATAATTTGAATACGACAAAAAAAGAAAGATTAATATAAGAGAACTGTTTACCTTTAGTCCCTTAGCTCTGTTAATGGCTCGAAGAGGCCTGAGCACTCGCAGCACTCGGAGAATCTTGACCACGGAGATTGCACTCGAACTGAGAACAACAAGACAGTAGAATAAGAGTCAAGAAAACAAAGGATAAAAAAACGTACAGATTGGGATGGGAATTAAGTACAAAACTACATTGGGAAGATGAAATCTTTTCGCCCAATACTAGATAGATAAGACAAAACTTTATTTATCCTGAAATAAATTGTTGTGCTGCGTTGGCAGTAGACACAAAAATCTAAATAAGGTTAATATTAAGATGCTCATATCATATCGGAGTTGCATATCGATATGTTATAATATATGCATTGCCCATTATGTCCTATGAGTCATAAAGTGTGATTATTGTAAACCACAGAGGGACAGTAATCCAAAGAGAACTAAGATAGAGACTAAACAGTGTGTTACCCTCATATCAGTAATGAGACATCACTTCTTCTACACACTTAATCTACACATTAAGTGACTCCCAGTGGACTTTTCTGTCAGAAGAAAACGGTGTGCAGCCTGTGTTCAACAGGTATCTACTCACTGTAAAAAGAAAGATGTGAGCGACACACTGACAACCAGCAGGTCAAGAAGGTTGAAAGCATTTCTGCAGAAGGAGCCACTGTGCAGAAATGCTCCGTAGACAGTCATCTAGACAAGAGCAAGGAAGTTAATAACCAATGTAGAAGAAATTATGACATTTTTTTTATTTCAGCCACAGCAACCGTTACCTTTAGTACTATTTCCACCGTGAAAACTGAAGTGAAAACATAATCAGCATAACCAAGCACCTGAGGATGAGAGAAATTATTATCAACATTCAGTCTTAATTATTGTACAGGTGATGATGAGCAGGTGGACGTGGTCTGTGAGGCTTTGATGCGGTCGGTCTTACTATGTTCCTGAATGAGTGGGATTTGATTGGATCCTCAGCGGCCAGGGAAATACTACTGAGGATGATGAAGATGAGAATGAAGTTGGTGAAGTAAGGGTGATGGATGAGGTTGTGGCAGGCAACTCGCAAACTGAGAATGGGAAGGAAATTACAAAGAAAAGTGTATTATTTTAGTAATTGTTAAATCAATGGGGAGTAAGTCTATAGGAGTAAAATATAATTTGGTTAATTTGGCGCATGTATGATCTCTTTTACCAGTTTTTCTTTCCAAGAATGAAGAAAGAGCTTCCATCAGGGATTGGGACAATCTTCTCTTTGGGCCCTGAGAATTCAGGTTTTAATGGAGCAACTCCTACAACAGAATAAAGATACAGGTATAAGAGATGGTTTACATCTTAATCAGCATTTCTGCTATTTCTCCTGCAGGTCGTGACTTCAGTCAGACTCACCCTCCAGTCCCTCGATGGCCCTCAGCTCCTCGTTTTCCTGCCAGTCGTCTTCTTCGTTCTACACGTGAGACAAAAGATCATATGTTGTTGTCTGCCATTTCACTTTTTAAACATGTCTAATATGGTGAAAGAAAAGATTAAAAGATTATCTACCCCTGCATCTTCATCCTCTTTCTCTTCATCCTCATCCCACTCTTCTTCTTCTTCCTTTTTCTCTCTGAAAAAACAAATAGACAACTGTAATTAACACTTACACACAATAGAACCTTTTTTATGTGCTTATTATACCGATAAGTTCAAGTGCAGCAGGAAATAAAGGGGTGAGTCAGTTATAAATGACTCCGATACCACTGCTCATTATCATCATACTATCTGACTATCATCAAACTTACTCAACTTTCGTCTTTCCTCCGCCTCCGGCCAAGTTGTCCACAGCGATAGCCAAGAAGACATTGAGCAGAATGTCTGATCACAAAATTAAGGAGACAAACCTGTTCTGTTTGGTCTGAAAGACCAATCATTTAATGCTCAGACTGTGACAGGAATCAGACAGTAAGTGCACCAACACTGGAAAAGGATACAGTTACCACAGACAAAGAGAATGACAAAGTAAATGCACACCACCATGTTGGGGAAGATCGGCCCTCCATATGCCATAATACCGTCATACATTACAGCGTTCCAGTCCTCTCCAGTGAGGATCTGCAAAGAAAGACCATAAAAGAGAGACACAGCAGACAGACAGAACGAGAGACCTGTGATTAATAACCCAATACATAAAATAGTCGAGTAGTGAGATATTGCGGAGATGTAGATCACCTGGAAACAAGTGAGCAGAGCCTGAGGGAAGGAGTCAAAAGTACTTCTCTTCATCTGAGTCTCATCAAAGTTAAATTTGCCTCCAAACAACTGCATGCCTAGCAAGGCGAAGATGATGAGGAAGAGGAAGAGCAGGAGCAGAAGGGAGCAGATAGCTTTCATAGAGTTGAGCAGAGAGTTGACCAGGTCAGACAAAGCTGCCCAGTGCCTGGAAACAACAAAATCAAAGAGAGCATGGATTACAGATCAGATAATGAACATAGGATAATTTAAAAAAAACTACAGACTATATCACCGGTTCCTTCCTCATGCAGCCGACTGAAAACCTCTAGATGTTTCACCACTAAACTCTGGCACCAATTACCGTGTCATCTTGAATATCCTAAGCAGTCGGATGCAGCGCAGCACAGAGATGCCGATGGGCGGGATGACATCCATCTCTACGAGCAGCGTCTCAAGGATGCCGCCGCACACCACAAAGCAATCAAAGCGGTTGAACAGCGCCATGAAATAGATCTGCAGGCCAAAGGCGTACATCTTCATCAGCATCTCCAGAGTGAACAGCAGCAGTAGGATCTTGTTGGCTCGCTCTGAGGGACAAAGAAGAAGACGTGGAGTCATGTTTTTTTTTGTGTGTGCAGCTGGATGGAGTCAGGACTCCCCCCAAAAACACTCAACAAAAGTTAAAACAAAAGGATGAGTGGATTCTTACCTTGCATTTCCGTGAGCCACTTTGGCTGTCCGTAATGCTCGGAAGCACTGGCCACTGTGTTGAGAAACACCAGCAAAAGCACCAACCAGTAGAAGTTAGTTGTCTTGACGGCCACACGGCAGTTCTTCCTGAATGTATGATTCAGCTGGCACAACTGGTCACTAAAAAGTAGTAGAAATTGTTTCTTGACTTTAATGTGCATTTTCACGGTGTGTAACAACTAATATCAAAAATAATTTGAATGGATCATGAATGAATGATAGAAGAAAAGTAATAAATGTTACAAATATGCATTGCTACCACCTCCAAATAGAAGAGTAAACTATTTCTCTGAAAGTTCATGTTCTTCGTCACATAAATACAATGTAATATTGAAAATCTTACCAGAAGCTATTGGCCATCATCTTTGCCCTGACGAAACAAGACAATGTCAGTGCAAACAATGAACTGACTTCATTAACACCTACAAGCCAGTGATAAATCAAAACAATATTATTTCTCCGTTGCCTTACATGAGAGAAGCACAGAAGCCACTGTCATCATCGAGGTATGCGATATCATCGTCCGAGTCTGACTCTGTTCAACATAGAGATGAGTACTGGCTGTTAGAGAGAATCGTGTGAAATACACACAACAACAGACAATGACAGCTGACATACCTCCACCGTCCTCACTGTGTTTGTACCAGCCGAACTTCTTCATCATCTTTTTCTTTGCAATTGCAGCACCTATGAAGTCAAATAAAGGCAGACTATGTATCAAGGTAAAACTAAATGTAGATGTTTTGGTTTGAAAGTGTGTATGTCGACATGAATATGAGTTAAACTAACGTTTGTTTCCTTCTTCATCCACATCCTCGGCCTCTATGAGCCAGTCCATGTAACCTATCATGTCCTCCTCCATCTGCTTGCTCTCCTGAGCCTTCTGCAGCTCACCACGCGCTACGGCCTTTTCTCTTTCCTTGGAGAACTCTCTGAAACATTGAAGACAAATGCAGGGCATTCATTTTGTTTCTCATGACACAACAAATGCACAGAAAGCTGTGACCTGCAGTGCAGCGGCTACCCACCCGCTCAACACACCCAATACAAGATTGATAATGAAAAAGGATCCAAAGATGACCAGAGAAACAAAGTAAACCCATGGGATCTCAAAGCCAATGGCATCATTCATCTGTGCAGAGAGACAAAGTACAGGTTAATATTTTAAATTTCAATAAACATGAAAACTGTGAAGGATCCAGGAACTTGATTGTGTACCCAGTAGAGAACATCTGTCCAACCCTCCATAGTGATGCACTGGAAAACTGTCAGCATGGCGAAGAAAATGTTGTCGAAGTTTGTGATGCCGCCGTTGGGGCCTTCCCATTTGCCCCTGCACTCAGTCCCATTCCCCCCGCAAAAGCGCCCGTTCCCGGCAAATGCACAAGGTGACGGATCATCTTCCAACATGAGATCTGGAGCACAGAGAACAGCAGGAGGCATTGAGCCAACATATCCATGACATATGGACGTGCTGTATTAAATCTTTTCTTGGTTAAGAGAGCAGAGACCTGTGCCACTAAAGTAACACGTCTTGTGCATCCTGCCGATGAAAAGCTCCAAGCCGATGATAGCGTAGATGATGATGACAAACATGACCAACATACCAATGTGCAGAAGGGGGACCATGGCTTTCATGATGGAGTTTAACACGATTTGCAAACCTGGCAAGAACAAACACTTACGTTTCATTGGTGCATGTAGGATGAAGCACAGAAACACACATGCAGCAACACTTTAAAAGCAAACTGCAACAAATGATAAACGCACTTGGCACTCCAGATACAAGCCGAAGGGGTCGCAACACCCTGAACGCTCTGAGAGCTTTGACATCCAGGCCTCCAGGTTTTCCAGCTGCATGATGGGCCTCTCCTGGCTTATGATCCGTCATGGCCTCTGCTATTACACTGAACAACCTGCACAGACAGACATGTTAACTCTTCTTTTTGTTAGTGATCGAAAATTTGTAGCCTGCAAATGGTGACTACATGAAGCACCAAAATACCCGACAATGACGATAACGAAATCAAGCAAGTTCCATCCGCTGCGTATGTAGGCGCTGGGGTGCATGACTAAGCCATAGGCAAGGATTTTAGTGAAGGTCTCGATGGTGAAGATGACAAGGAAGACATATTCCACTTGTTCCTGAGAACAAAAGAAAAGGAAATGTAGGGGTGTTTGACAAAATTGTAATGACCTTTTTTATGTCCGCGAGTGCGTCTGAAAAGAATAAATATGGAATAGTCTTGAAAAAATTTATTTTTACAGTACAATAAAGTGGCATTGACTGACTTTTTCATGCTTCCTTCTTTAAATCATGTGTGATATCATTAAAGGCTGACTGCAGTGGCTTTCTAACCTCTTAACCCAGTGCCTCACACATAGGCCTACTTAAGCCTGTCACTGAATCTCTTTTCTGTACCCTTCAACTTAATGCTTCTAATCACTGCTACAAATGTCACCAATGCTTTTACCTCAGGTTGACACAATGGTCCAGGCATAATGTGGTTTAATGTAAGACGACTGGAATTCACAAAAATCTGTAGCATCCACCAAAACCTGATCCAAAAATGTATTATATTAACTTACAGTACTGTAATTTACTGAAAGGAAGGAGCTAACCTACTTGGTGCAATCCAATAAGGGTCTAGTGTATGTGTGTGTGTCCCTGTTACCCTGTTTACAAAAATCAAATTTTAATATTTACTCTCTGCAAATGAGGTATGGATTGTTTCCAATGAAACAATAACGTTAACACAATATGACAATTTTAAATATATATACATATATAAGCTATACATATTGGCTCACATTTGCAATACACCAAAGAAAAACATGCTCTTTTTCACCCTGACTTTAATTTGTAATTTTCAGGGAGAAAGAAAGATAGTAAGAGTAAGAGAGACAAAGAGATGAGGCAGATGGTTGTGGTTTAAGTAAGTCATGATCCCATTACCATCCAACAGAACGCTATTAACCTTTTCACTAATTGTTACTACCTTCAGCAAAATACCTACTTATAACTGTCGTTTCCATGAAACACTGAAAAGCATATTTTCTCCTTTTCACAAACCATTAAGATGTTTTTCCTACACTTGTGTCACTAGAATCATGCATATATCCAGCAGTGTCCTCAAATGACTCAGAGGACCTGAGAAGGAACATTCTCTCAGGATAACCACATGGGATGTTCTATGTGAGAGTCAAGCCTTGGAAACGGAAACATGAGAACAGTGTAAGAGAAGCTAGGATTTGATGATCTTATTGAAATTACAAAAAGTTCACGTTGACAACTTCTTTCATTCCCTTTAAAGTGATCACGATGCTGTCCTAAACTTTTTATACTTTTGATTTCCAAGAACTGACTACTACTTCAGCGGTCTGATGAAGACAGCTCTCTATGATCAAAGTGCCAGTATCTGTTTGAAGTTTATACTTTTACTTCATGTGATATTCCCCATGTTGGCTTGGATGTACCTCTCATCTCTTTTCAAACACTTTTTTTTAATCATCATGTCTTCTCACTCATTGATCTTAGTATCTTGTCTATCCATCTTCATAGCTACGTATGTATAGTTGTATGTATGAGTGCATGAATCATATAAAATCAAGGAATTTCACTTTTGGATTAAGAGTTGAAATGTGTCCCTGAACAAGACACTTAGACCCTAGTTGCTCCAGAGGTGTGCAACCTGACATAAATAGCAATTGTAAGTCGCTTTGGATAAAAGCGTCAACTAAATGAATAAATATTTACCCAGGTTTTTAGATGTTATCCTTGTTTTTGCCTTGGATTATGTGATGAATTTTGTTGTTTGTTAACATTGTGTTGTGTACTTTAATGAGTTAAAGAAGAGTTCAAGAAAAACGTTAGGTTAAGCTTCTTTATATCTCCCCACAGGAATCTCACCAGTTGGTGATTGGTAGCATTGGAGTCATCATCGGGATACGGCTTGGTAACACCCATGGCCACACAGTTGGCAAAGATGGCAAGTAGAATGAAAATATCAAAGGGCTTAAGGATTGCAGTTAAGGGTACAACAGGCCTTGTGAATGCATCTTTCCAGGAAAATACAGACAACAGCATAATAAAACTTCAATCTGCCTACACCCCCACATATTCTCATGAACATATTATACATTTGCATTATGTACATGACTGTGCATAAACATACACAATCCGCTGTTCATCCTAAAGGACACAGAGAAGGATATTTCCACTCTACTAGGGCCAGTGCTGCCATGCGGATGGGGTTGCTGAGGGTGAGGCAGCAGAGGGCTCGGGGGGCCCTGAGCGCGGACTTGTTTGCCTGCATTGCCTTCTTGGCCCCCCCTCCTCTTTTTCTGGCCGAGCCAGTCGACCCGAGGGTGTCTGATTTTCCTCCATCGCCCCCAGGGAGGGCATCTGTCCACAAGAAAACATTCTGTAATGATGTTATTCTGTTTTCAAGCATCCCGAATGTGAAGTCTAAAAGATTAGTATTGCATAATGACTGAAAGACTTATGGTGGAAAATCTTTTATGTCAAAAATGTAAACACGTGTGATACATCAAAGGTAACTGACATAGCTAGATAGTTCTTTGCTAATAGAGAAATGGGTCTGTTGTATTGGTGGATACTTTTACATTGAATCAAAACTCTGTGCCCAGTTATGGTTGGTGTACAACTTTCAGTTCTCTCTCACAATGTGAAAATATTATATTGCTATTATCAGCCCACATTTTATAATCAAACAAAATGAAAGGGAGGATTTGACACATGGCTGCAGAAACAGACAGGTATTCTGTCCTGAAGGCGTCATATTATAAGACCAGATGTGACCTACTTCTTTATTGGGAGCAGCCTGGCAATTAGCCAAGCACTATCCCCATGTAGGCCCCATGAACACCTGTTGACTAGGCCCTGCACGGTGAATAAGCCTGCAGGTACATTTATAGCCTCTCCCATGTAAAAAGGAGTAGCCAAAAATATGGGCAGATAGAACAGACTTGCTTATTGTGGAAATGTTGAATGTGATTCCAGTTGTGCACCTAATTGTTCCAAAGGATGTGCTTTGATTTTAATCACGCAAAACTGCTTAACTATCAGGATGAACTATGTATGACCAATCTTGTAACATTCAATGTATATCTGGATGTATTATTTCAGAAATCATTGCTAACCGTCCATCCACACCACCTGCAATTTCCTATGATTTCTCATCAGTATCTTTACAGTACAGTGAGCTTAGTCCATGTTTTATTCATAACTCTGAAGTTATAATGTGCATATTCTTACTGTTCTTTGCTGTGTGCAAACAAAAGCTCAGAGACACTGGAAGGAGCCCCTACCTTTCTTTGCCCCGTCCATGTCCGCAGTTTAACACCACGAAATCACTTCAGAAAACCCACCATCAACTCCTCAGAGGATCGACATGCAGTGGATCACAGATATGAATTTGGCCCCCAAAAGAGACAACTTTTTAGGGGTAAAAAAAGGATCATCTGCTGCCTGTCATTTCATATCCACATGCAGCACGCCGGTGCAGCTGAGAGGCTATGGGCCATCCTGCTCACCGCCTGCTTAGCTTAGAAATCCAATTAATCAGATTTTTACAAAATCCAATTTGGGCAATTTCTTAGGTGAGTAAATTAATAGTGCAATTGCTTTTATCTATGCAGGCACACGAGGAGTATTATAGCAAACGCGTCCCCATATCCGCGGTGGTCAGCCGTCAGGATTAAACTAGTTGAGCCGTTTAAAAGGATGACAGAGGAAATCTTTCAAGGGGAAGGTGGAGGTAGACTCAGGAGAATCTCTGCAGCTCTGTGGGATTTTGTTGCAAAGTTATAGTTAAACAGTATAGAGGAATATTATGAAGTTCTGGTGGGAAGGAAAATGGTTGGTTCAACACTGAAAGTTAGAGAAACCTTCTTTAGGACCTTGGACAGAAGCAGTCGATGGGTGCAGTATCCACAGAGAGGCGATAGGGGGCGTGCTACCACAGTAAATACTAGAACATTGTGATTGAGCGCAGGAGCAAGTAATGTTTGTAAAGTCCCCGGTTATTTTCCCATATCACTGCATCATTTTAGGATTTCTTAAGCAAGGGCCATGAAAAAAAACCCAGTACCATCCCGTGTTAAAGAACATTTGATATCTTTATTATCAACTTTTGCGAGATAAATATATTAAGACAACACATAAAATAAACATTGTTTCTATACATAATTTGACAGCAAAACACAGAGTCATGCTGCATCATCTCTCTGCTGTGGCAGATGCTACCAGTTTAAGAAAACAGAGAGATGGAGCTTAAAAAGTGCTGGTTGTCTGGCGGATAATGCAGTGATTAAAGTGACGAGGGGTGCAGGATAAACTGTCGAAATATAAGTAATTCAAGCCATACTTTTCAAGGAACTCATTCGTATTTTTCAGTTTTGCAGAAAATACATCTGTACTTATCCTTCTAATATGTAAGATCATTATTATTATTAAAAAAGGAAATTATAAAAGCTGCCGGGTGAGGCAACACCGAACTGCAAAGAATGGAATGAGGTTTTGTTGAGCCTAGATCCATCTTAAGCACACAGATCACTTAAAAACACACATCAATTTGCATCGATTGTCACAGCTGACACATAATAAAAGACTTAACAGACTAGCACTCTCCATGGTAAAACCTCACTGAACCAACACGATGATGTAATGTCACAGACATCTGATTTTCCTTATTACTCTACCTGTCTCCTTTGCAGCTATTAAAACTACACTATTTACTAAATATATGCATTCAAGTGCAAACTCTTTGGAAGCTGGAAGAAATAGTTGTGGGAAATACACTTACTCGCTGTATTGCCAAGAGTTACATGAGAAGATGGATGCCAACTCCACTGGTTACCTGACAACTTCACAGCGATGACAAGACTCCAGCAAGTAGTAAAAACAACAAATTATAATTTTTATACTTTTGTTTTTGTACAAATTAAACACATGAGATAAAACATGTTCATCAGTGAGCTTTAGGGTGCTGATAGGTGGATTTTGTTGGCTCCAGCTACATTTGTATCAAACAGACTTGAGAGTGGTATTGATCTTCTCATCTAACTCTCAGCAAGAAATAGTAAATAAGCCTATTTGCCAAAACTATTCCTTCAATATACAGATGTTGCCTAGATGTCAAATAATCAAATACAATTTTACATTCATTTCACAACTGCATATTTAACCCAAAAGTGTCACAGTGAAGACAGAATAACCATTAACAAAGAAAAGGTTGCATATGATGCTGGAGAACATGAGGTTTGTCAGAAGGATTTTTGTTCACATACAAACATTCACTCAAAAATAACTAAAACTCACAGTAATTTGCCCCTGAGGTATAAGCACACATTGCTACTACTTGACACCACTGTAGTGACCAGTATCTCCACCTCCTGGTCATCCTGGTACCTGCTGTAATGTCTGGTGCCCCCCCTACTCTCTGGTCTGACTCACTGCATCCACAGCTGGCCTTAGTCAGCCTTGTTGCTCTCTACTGAAACTGCCCCTTTGCCCCCTGCTGCTGCTGCTGACCCCCATCCTTTGGAGGTAACTGACTGGGGTCATCTGCAAAGGGAATAGCTGAAGAAAACAAGAAGGAAGAAACAAAATGTTTGTGGCAGAATCCTATTTGTCCATGGCATGAATGTAATAAAGATAAAATGTATGTTTCTCTTAAATGCACTTAGACCTTCATATACAATCAGTTTATGCTGTTCAATTAATCTTTTTGGTGTGCCCTCTTTCCCTCAATTTAACCCATCCACCTCATTCAGTAAGTGACTTCCTACATTTTTTCACTTTGACATAACACAGTAGGAAAAGCATGGGTCTAAATAAAATAACAGTGGCTGTGTGTTCATTCAGCTCCTTCAGTTTCAGGGTCCTGGCATTGTGCACACTGTCACCGTCTACTGAGACACTTAAATAGAATTGAGCCATAGTTTATGTTATCAGTACCATTTGTGCTTTTCCTACTACAAGTCAAAATGAAATGAAATAGGCCTATGCCTTTCCACAAGTCTCAGAGAAAAGGCTTTCATGTGTTGCATCCATTACTTGAGGGTACACAGAGTTCTCGCACCACAGTGAGCAAAAAAGATTTTCCAGTTTAGCAGAAATGAGAGTCAGCTCTTACTCAGAACAATGCACTTTTGGTCTATTGTTTGCCTATGGTGTTTTTGTTATTAAATACCATTGTAGTTCTGCTGGAGGTGCCATTGTGACACATTTTGACCAATTATTCCAAGAATACTATAATACAACACAAAACAACTAAATGATCTCTGTCTGTTTAAAGTGGCCATTTTCACAATGTTGCAGACCGCCACAGTGGGATAACAGCTTCAAATTGTGGTCATTCACTATTGGTTATTAGTTTGCACAAGTGGGTTATCAGCAGTAATGTAGTGAGAATACATATTCGAGAAGTACTGATGAAACCTGAAACTCTAATTACACTGCACAAGTAGTCTGAGGGTCTGAAATGGTTTCCTCTTGTTCATTTAAACCTGCAATAATGGATTTTTTTCGGCACTTAGGGCCAGCAGAAACAAACCGTGAACATGACACTGACAAATGATCACCTCTTAAGTAAATATTGCAAACTTGGCAGCCAACGGTTTGCTCTTCACACATCCAGCAGATGCAGAGCAACATTAGCATTCATTTGGAGTCATGTTTCTGTCCACCTGACAAATATTCCTCTTAGCTCTGCTTTGGTCCTGAGGGAAAAGCTCTTTAGCAGCAAATTGTTTCACTATGCTTACCAGCCAGTTGGAAACTGTGTCTGTCTGCTGTTTGTTGCTGGGCTGGTAGCTTACAGCTTTTTTTTGCTGAAAACTATGTAATTAGAGCGGTGAGAGTGAATCAAATTAGTAACGTTGTGGTACAGAAAACAAAAACTCTTTCTCTGAGTGACTCTTTTCACATACAAGTAATCATGTGATCCATTGTTAATATAAAAATATGGATTATAGCCACTTAAAATATAATTTGCAAAACTCAATCAACTTCACTTACGGTTCTGAAACTGCTGTGCTGTATATCTGGTTAGGAGGATCCCAAAACCCTCAATGAGAGCGAGTAAAATTCCCCCCATCATGGCAGAGCCCATCATAGTTAATGGCCCACCTGGAGAAAAACACAAAATTCATTGAATCACACTAGTTAATTTGATATGGTCAGTGACACAGGAAGCCCATTGTGCTATACGGGCATCCTCTTACTGCGTGCTGCTAGGATGGCCCCAGTCAGTGCACCACTTGTAATGGAGTTCCAAGGATCCTCTTTCCCTCTCAGGCGAACTAAACCACAGTCGATTGTGGAGAACAGCCCTCCCCATACAGCAAAGCTACCTGCAAAATAGCCAAAAACACGTCAGTGAGTGTATGATTTTAGTTTTAGACAAAGAAATGTTATCATCAATAATTCTGTGAAGTATCTTGCTCTTGCTACCAATATATAATAAAGCCCTTTTGCAGGTAAATCATTTAATATACACAATACATTTTACTATTTAACTCTTATATGTGGCATAAGCATATTAAGGTTCCAAGAGCTACAGTAAAGGAAACAATTCATTCACAATAGAAGATCTCCTCACCACCAATCTGTGGAGCTCTTATTCTCACTGCAGTTGCACTCCCTCTCAGTCTGTGTCTGACACCCTGAAACATTAGAGTACTGTTGAAGTCTGCCAATCAAAACCTGATGAGAGTTGGAGCAAATAATCATTATCACTATTACGTGACGAACTCACTGCAGGGGCATTACGAAAGCCCTTAATTGCCTGGAACACCCCTCCTCCAATTGTGCCCATGGTAAAAGCACCGCCACAGTCATCCACTATCCTCCAGGGACTGCAGGAGTGCATTAAGAAGAGAGGGGAAGAAAATAAGAAGTTAAAATTAAGTATGTAATGTCAAATATTAAGACGTACTTAGGCTTTGTAATGTAAGCTGTGCATTCCTCAAAATAGTTTATTCTGGAGAGAACATTTGTACCATAACAGAACACCGTGAACACTGTGCTATTGCAATGATTTTAGGTTGTCAGTATCTGGTTGGCTCACTGACAGTGGTTAACTGCAGCCCTACATTGGACGTTAAATACATATTCTTCTACAACTGTAATCTACAATTCACAAAACTATACCCCTGCATATGCCAGTAACATCAGTCATAGTCCCTGTCCTGTCCTCTCTGTTGGTCAGTGCAGCCTTGTTCCAATTTACAAAATGAAATAGAGCTATTTAATATTATATGAGTAATATAATATTGAATAGCATATTTAAGCAAAAGGTTGTTGAAGCTTGGACTAGTTGCTGTGGGTTTTTATATCCTCGACCCTTCACCGAGGTCAGCGGGTTAACCAACAAAGCCTCTCTGTTCACTCTCACAACAACGTTACTAATGGCATTAAGAAAACAAAACTATGTCCGAGGTTAACAAGGCTGAATATACAACACAGGGGGATTGTTTAAAACTAATCTTACCAAGGTTCACGGGCATATTCCTCCATGTTTGTTGTCGTCAGGAGAGGACAGTGCAACGTCATCATTGTGCGCGCCGTGTGCTGTTTTGGATAGTCGCATCGCGCACTCTCCTCGACGATCAAAAAGGCGATTTTCTTAAAAGAAATAGGTAATGTGGGATTCATTTTTACTCAGTCAATGAAATAGAAAGTGGAGGTTTTTATTATTAGTGTAGTTAAGGGTTTTTTACGAAGCGCTTAGGTGTGTTCGTTGCTTTAATCATCATGTTGCTGCCACGGAGTGACCGGGGAGGCGGTACAATTATTTTGTGGAAATAAACGTTTTATCGTACATGATGCGAATTATTTTAAAATGCAGATATCTTTATAAAGAAAACGTTGTCCAAACCGAGCAGCTAAAACTAGCGTAGCAACACAAGCTAACGTTTCACCGGGAGCCACAGAGGCACAAAGCTGCAGAGGAGAAACTGAAATGACCAGTGAACCATTTTATTGCCATCAGGGACGTTTTCTCAGCCACCCAGGCTTTAATCCTGTCCTCAGAGACATTTACTTACATCTCATCTCAGGATAACTTTCAGAAGAGTCACAACAATATTGCTGTTGGACAATACCGGGTTCGTTGCATTCGTGTTTTACTCTAATGCTTTGTTTGTATTATTTTCATTGTTGATTAATTTGTCGATCATTTTCTCGATTAATCGACTAGTTGTTTGGTCTAAACAATGTCAGAAAATGGTGAAAAATGTCAATCAGTGTTTCTCAAAGCCCAAATGTCTTGTTTTGTCCATAACCCAAAGATACTCAGTTTACTGTCATAGAAGAGTAAAGTAACCAGAAAATGTTCACATTTAAGAAGCTTGGACAAACATCAAATTAATCCTTATCAAAATAGTTGGCGAGTAATTTAATAGTACAACTAATCAATTAATCTCTGCAGTTACTTCTGCAGTAATCTTAATATGGTGAAATTTAAGTTTAATGGTTTTTAAAATGTCCACACCAAGCACCTTAGTTTGGGGTTTGTTCACTGCTCACTACCAGCTGTAGATGCACAGAATTATCTGCATACAATCAGTATTTATTGAAAATGTATGTTGGTTAGGGATTAGGGATGCAACTAACCATTATTTTAATTATCGATTAATCCTGCAATAATTGTCTCGATTTATCAAAGTAGCTCGTTTTCGCCAACCAACAGGACTATATATGTTTACTGTGTGTGTGTATATGTGTATCACATTCGGATGATTGGGTAAGAGTTAATTCTCCCTTCTCTGTGTTGCAGAATGCCTCTTCCCCCCGCGCTGCTGGCTCGCTTGGCCAAGAGAGGGATTGTTAAACCGTCAGAGCAAGGTAGCAGAAAATATTTTTAAAACACATCCCTGAGCCTGTAGCATTCAGACATATTTCTTTACTTTTTCATGTGTCATGTAACAACGTTTCTCCTCCACTTTCTCCAGAGGTAGACGAGGAGATTATTGCTGAAGATTACGATGACAACAACGTAGATTATGAAGCCACCAGAGTGGAGAATCTACCACCAAACTGGTATAAAGTGTTTGACCTAGCTTGGTACGTATTCTTGATTTTTTTTCAGTGAGCTGTTACTGCTCACTGGCAGTCTTTTAACAGTTTCTAGAGGATTTAAGTCCCATAAAATCTTAGTGATTTGTTGTATGTTTCATTATAGGATCAAACAGAGCACAGCACACTATAACAAGTTACACAGGCATGTCAACCTCATTATGGCACTGACAACTTGTTTAAAAAGGTCATAATGGGTCTGAATTTGTTTGTGGTCAGTAAGTCTATTCATTATTTTAATGTAAGATCAGTAATGACTGAGAAAGACGTCATAAAAAGTGGCATTATAAAATAAAATTGTCATTTGGAAAACTAGCATTGTGAAATAAATACAAAAAATACCGGCAATAAACTAAATTTCACTGTTGGTTGAATCATTTCATAATGACCTTTTATGAGTTCTAAGGGGTTTTGAATTCATTCATGGACGTTCTTGATTATTTTGTTGCAATGTCTTATTTATTTAACACTTTTCATCTCCGTACCTATAAGCATAGCCACTCCGCTGCTCTGTGTGTTATATGTTCAAGGACCACACTGTGAAGAAAAGTCATACTGCTTTAATGTGTTTTTGTCATTGATGATTGTACTACTACTACTTTGCTACACTATAACTACCACTATGCAGAGTTGTAGTCTATTATAAAAATAAATTTCCTAATTTTCAATCAATGGTCATCAATGTCTTAATTGTATTATTCATCATTATTAATAATTTAAACATTTTCCCTACTTTTTCCTTCAATCCACAGTGGTCTTCCTTATTACTGGAATGTGGAGACAGATTTAGTGGCCTGGCTGTCCCCAAATGACCCAGCTGCAGTGGTAACAAAGCCTGCGAAGAAAATTAGAGGTATGGCATTATAAAGGCATGACTTAACAATTTGATGACGCAGTTGTGATCTTCACTGCAATCTTATCCCCATGGCAATCTGTTAATCATGTGTGACTCACAAAGAATAGCAGGTCTGATCATCATTTGGCAAATAATCTCAGAATGCAGTTTGTTTTTGCCATATTCTGGCAGTGGTTTATTTTGTGACCGTTGCCTTTTTGTTTCATTTTTATTTTTCAGCTGAGGGGGGGGATGAAAGAGTTGAGAGGCCGTTTGAGAAGCCGGACAGAGAGCGAGAGCGGGAAAGAGACAAAGATCGGGAAAGGGATCGGGACAGGGACCGAGAGAGGGATGGAGAGAGGGACAGAGACAGAAGGAAGCAGCGGAGAGAAGACATGGCGCCGTACAGTAAGAACAAAAGAGGTAAAGTTTACATCTTTATCATACGACACAAGTATTTTCAGATTGATGCTTTTTACATGAACGTTACATATTTATTTTCCTCTCAGGGAGAAAAGATGATGAAATGGACCCCATGGATCCAAGTGCTTATTCTGATGCCCCAAGGTACAGTATTTACAGTCATGCTAATTAAACAAGCCCTTTGGTCCTTTCTTTGAAGGAGTACTCCAGAAATTTAGTATTGCACTGTCACAAAATTGCGAAACTTGTGAGCGAAGTATTAGGAGATATTCTGAATTTAAATCACTAGTATGTGACAAGCTCGACAAATAGCCACATAAATTCAACCCCACAACCTTGTTTGTAACACAGGCTTTCCGTAATAAATAAGTAGTCTCCAAGACCAAGCTGATAACCTGAGCCACACATGTATAAAACCAAACCATTAAAACAAACCAATTTTGCTTTACAGGGGCACATGGTCAAGCGGCCTGCCCAAGCGTAATGAAGCAAAGACGGGTGCTGATACCACAGCGGCAGGGCCTCTGTTCCAGCAGCGGCCGTATCCCAGTCCGGGAGCCGTGCTTCGGGCTAACGCAGCAAACCAAATACCCAAGGAGTAAGCTGAGTGGCCCTGGAAACAACTAACAAAGACAGAGCTGTACAGTTTGGCATCACTTTGCTCACATCGTAGCATCTGCCGTTCATTCTTTTTATTCTGAAATTAGTTTACATGTCAGAATTTGAGTGCTGAGCTTTTCTACCACCAGTGCATTCATAAACTTTTCAAACATGTAGAACAGTTGTAAATATGTTTTTATATGACCTCTTATTGTTACTAGGGCCATTTATCGTCATCATTTGCTAATAAATTTAAAGATTACTGTGAAAAAGACTCATTGCTTTTTTTAACTTCAAGGTGTGGTGGCTAATCATGTAATAACATCTGTACAAATACAATTCTTGACAATGTTTTATTACAAAATTACAGGGATCTAAAATCTTAATAAATCCATTATTTTTGAATATTACAAAACAACATTTCAGATGGAATAAAGGACAGGGAATATCTGAATAAAGAAATACAAAAATAGTATGGGGAGGGGGGAAAAGAAGAAATATGTTCATCAATGATCTGCTGCCCCTACATAGTGACAAATACAGTCATAGTCCAGTGTGAACACTTTCTCTTCATATCGGTCGAGCTGGACCATCGCTCTGCACTTGTTTTTGTCCCGCTGCAGAATACGGCCGACCTGAACAAGCAAATGTAAATGCTGTGATTAGTTACGGCACAAACCAGTACACACATCCTGCAAGAAAGATGATCCATTGCTTACCTGTCCTCTGTGCTCGCCCAGTACAACCATTATAGAATCATTTTCACTTTTTGGAACAATAGTTTCCAGCATGTCCTGCTTCACATCTGCCACAGGAAAAAATTTCAGACAGAGCTACACGTGTTATCGAGGGTACATCATCCCCAACCAATGAGCACTGCACATACTTATAAAATATTAACTAAATGTATATAACACCACAGTACAGGGTTAGTCTGACAATTTGGGAAACATGCTTCTTTGCTTCCTTCATGGGGAGTTAGATCAGAAGATTGATACCGGAAAGACTGGCAGCAAACAGTTAACCTGGCTTTGGTCAAAAGGTAAAAACAAATCTACTTACGAGCACTTCTAAAGCTCACCAATTAACTAATTTGTTTAATGTGTACAAAAACTCAACAACAAAACAGAGGCTGTCTCACCCTCCTGCCAGTCGAAGATGAGCTAAACCAAAATAGCTTCTGGCTGTAGCCTTATATTTAACAGACATTAGAGTTGTATAGATCTTGTCATCTAATTTCCCAAAATATCAAACTATTACTTTAAATTCTTAATAACAGCTATCTGTGTTACAAATCACCCAAAATGGTTGTTTTTTTTGTTTGTTAAACATCAAATGTAAATACACTACACAGAAGGCTTTATCCATATAGGCACATATACACAAGATATATGTGCAGGAAGAACCACGGTAGCCTGGCTCCATGGGTTTCCTAATAACATCAAAGTGAGTCAGATGTATTATGAATATTAACAGGTATTGTTACAACACACGTTGCACATTTCTTGTACATCTTGAATTAGGGAATAGGAAAAACACCATGGAGTGTGACAGGGAGAGAGAGACTGAAATGGCACTAATGACTCACCGTCTAACAGTCTTCCCTCTTCAGTTCGACACACACAGGCAGTCTGTGTCAGGACATCCTCCACACGCATCTAGAAGAAAACAAGACTGATCTTAGCTATGACAGAAACCCAACAATTGTAATTATTAAAACACTACAACACAAGATCATGTGCAATATTCCAAAGCTCTAGCCCTTCTATGAGTTTTTGACTGCTCCTGTTTAAGAATGATGTAATTAATCAAAAATAAGTCAATGCAAATATCCACCAACCAATGAAAAAAAAGGTAACTGGATAAAAAATCTGGTGAGTTTAATATTTTCAAACAAAATTCCTTCAACACTTCTTAGTCTAAAATGAACCACTTGGTTACAACATAGGAAACTGATGACCCATAGGGAGGTTTGAGTTAGAGGATACAAAGAAAAGATGCTTTGTTGTTCATGCATTGGTACCTTTGAGTTGTAGTACCTGCCCCCTTTGAAAGCTTTGTCTATAAAGCGAACTTTCAAGTCTCTCTGGAGCCAGGAGGAGGGAGCCGGTGGTCGCCTTGCCTCTTTCACTGGAGGCTTCTCTCTACAAAGGAAACAGAAGAAAAACAAATAAACAAATATCTGTTTCCTCAAAGAAAACATTATTAACCAATAAATGAAAATGAGAAATATTCCAGTGTATTAAAATTTATAAAATACAGTTTTAAAATACCGGTCAATAAGAAACATGAAAAGCATACTGGATCTTCATCTTTTGAAGAAATGTACCTGTCTTGACTTGATTCTCTGTGTTTCCTCTTCCTCTCATCTTTTCCTCCATCTCTTTCTGAAGACTTGTGTTTTACCTTGTCACCATTACTTCGCCTCTCTTTCTCCTCCTGTCTCTGTTGCTCTTTTTCCTTCTCCTTCTCCTTGTGGGCCTTACTGAGGCGACCTGGTTTAATGGAAAAGGCACGGCACTGAATAAAATGTGGCACCCAAACACATACACTGCAGTGAGTGTGTTTTTATTCTTGGAAGGAGGCAACTTAGATTACTGATAATAAAAGCTGCGGCTGAATCACTGGTTTAAGGGGGGTTTTTTCCACGTCAGTAGAGGATATACCTGTTTAGACCAGTCAAGGCTTCACACAATTAATGCTGCGATTAAATATTTTTATTAGGGATTAATCGGCCACTTATTTTCTTGCTCATTATTTGGTCTATGAAATGCCAGGCGATAGTGAAAATGTCTATCACAGTTTCCCAGATTCCATGTTGATATAATAAATCTGCTTGTTTTGTTTGAACAACAGTCCAAAAACAAAAAATATTACATTTACTAAGATAGAAGACTAAGAAAACTAGCAAATATCTATATTAGTAGAAACCACTGAATTGTATTGATTTCATTTTTGCGGTTTAAAAAAATTTGCAACAAAAACCTGAATTTCTATTGTCATTCAATTTAAGTGGCTTACATGTAATAATTAAAATAAAAACCCAAAAAATCCCAAAACCATAGGCTACATCATAAATGGTTCAAATGAAAAGTTGGCAAACTAAATTTTACTTCTTGAAATATTTAATTTGGTGTGCAGGAGCACAAAATCCAAGTCTTCCACATAATTTTTCATAAATGTTAACTTTTTCTATTTAATTTATTCATTTGAGTTACTTACTGAGGTCTTTGCTGTGTTTGTCGTATTCCTTGCGCCCAACCACTTTTATGGCATACTGGCTGATTGTCACAGTTTTGCCGCCAATTGCCAGCTTCACCATTACTCGAGCATTGTCTGGATCAACGCCTTCGATCTACAGCACATAAATGACAAGAGAAAACAATACATTCAAATACAACAAGTAGTTGTGCGATACCTTACGTCTGTTTCAAGCGATGCAAACACATGTCAGATCAACTCTACCTTGCCATACAGGTCTTTATGTGCCCCCGACTCCACCAGCACACAGGCGCCTGGACCCATCACTAGTTCCTCCTCCTTCTCTCGCTCCTCACCTGGCTTGGGGGGACGCTGACGTCTGCTGGGCTCCAGGTCCTTTATCGCTGAACGATCAGCTCCAAGACCCAAACCTTTTGGACGGAGCTGGTGTTCTAGTGGCTTCACATCTCTGTGGCAGGCAGAGAACAGCAGCATTAAACCAGTAAACAAAGACATATACAGACATACAAACATATACAGGATGTAAAAGAGGCTGAACTAACTGTCCAAAATCCAAAGATACTCAGTTCACAAAGTAGCTGGAACTAAAGAATGTTGTATATTTGCTTGATTAAATCAAAATGTTTTTGATGGCCAACTAATCAATTGTTTCAGCTTGAATTCAAACAGCACAAGTACAAGTAAAGGATAAAGTTAAATTAGGAGAGGGAATGGTAAAGCAAGGGTCAGTTTTACTTACTGTTTAAAGGTGCGTCCAATGCCTTCAGCTTTGTTCCAGCCCATCCCCTTAAGCATAGCAAGTCCATAAGCCTCGACGGGAATGGCCTCATAATCTGCCTCTGTCGACTGACAAACACATACAGTTAAATTAGCGGTTTGAAAATCAAAAGACATGCATCAAATGCTCAACCAACCAAGTAAATACAGATACAACTACCTGTATCATTAAAATGTGTATCAGGGATAAATTAGGTGCTTATATAATCCTTGTGTTCTGAAACACAAAAAACTGTTTGTGGTGACTGGCAGAGAGAAGCAGTTTGTGATGCCGGTCTTACTCAGCCTTATGGCTCCGGGGTGTCAGACTCAGCACGGGATGACTAAAGTCACCAGGCAGCAGCCACAGCAGGCCTCATCAGAGCAATGGCCCGGCTCATCTCTGTCTCCGCTGAAGGCTTTCCTCTGAGGGAAGCTGGGAGACAACTCTCACAGAGGAAACTGCATTAAAATGAGCTTGGGGCACAGTGAGCAAGTTTCTCCTGACTTGCATGTTCTGACAGTCACATCTACAGTGAGTGAGAGCAGAAGTGGGATGACAGTGACAAGGCCTCTGATGAAAAGAAACACAAAGATCTGATTGGTCGTCTGCATGTCTCTGGGGAGAATGTTGACGCCTGTCTGCCACCAAAGCCTTACTGTATTGTCAAAGTCATCCGTACCAATATGCATGCGCACAACTGTGTATGTACACAGGGGTGTTATTCTACTCAGCTGACCGTCAGCACTTTTGCACACTCAAATTTCAATTTGAGTCAAAGCAACCAGTCTACCACACATTTTGTACTGTCAGGCATTGTCATGTTTTCACTGAAAAGCCTCTCAAGCAGATTATACTGTAATCTTTAAATCTGATACCATGTAAAGAAATTACAATTGACTAAGCGCCTGAGAGCCATGCCCTCCTCAAACAACTATTATACAAATGCCCTAGAGCAAAAGCAGTAAACCCAAGCGGCCAACAGTATAAATCTTACAAAAATAAAAGCATAAAGGCAACTCCCAGAAGTAAGTTTTTACATGAATGTTCATGTTGGCATTGTGGGAAAATAACATTCAGCTGGCATTATCTAGATATAGAGGGGAGTGTTTTTAATGTGGTACAATAGAATAAAAAAAAAAATACTAAAGACTTGGAAAACATTTGTTGATGTTATCATCATCATTATTCATTGACTCACGTCAGAATTTCAGTTGAGACAGTGAAACATCCAATCTCATTTGCTGCTTCAAATTTCTCTCATGTTGGGTGTCTATGACTTGACTATGCTCTCTAGTTCACCTAACACTAAAACAAAATAATGCATATATTGAAATGTACTGAATTGTTTCCTGCTCTCAGTAAAGATCCTAATTTGTGATGCCACGATGGTGGAACAAGCTACCACATGCCATCAGAGCAGGGATGTCCATCTCTGATTTCAAGATCTTGAAAACTCATCTCTTCCGAGGACGCTTCCACTTCTAACACCTCTAACATGCACTTCCTGTTCTCTTCCTCCCCTATCTCCTTACAGTTGTCTTGTATTAATTGCAATATTCATTAACGCTTACTTCTTTTCCTTGGTATTTACCCCACTGATGCTGTGAATGCAAATCTTACTAGTATTTATTGCTGCTCTTACTAGTGTCTATTGTCACTTGTATCTCCTACTTTATTGATGCTTGTATGTTGTTCCTCAAATGTAAGTCGCTTTGGATAAAAGTAAGTAAAGGTTACAGCAATAACAAAGACACCTCAACATACATTTCCTCTCTTCCTTCAGAGAAAAGAGCATTTTTCTGTCACACAATTGGTATCCATCCTTACATTTATTCATTTAGCTGACGCTTTCATCCAAAGCGACTAACAATGGCTAATTGTACGCCTCTCGACACATTAGTGTCTCACAGTGGATTCAAACCTGGGTCTCTCACACCAAAGGCATGTGTCTTATCCACTGCCACATCACCACCCATACTTACAGATTCAGGCCGTAGATCCACCTTTACTTGATCCCCATCCTCAAAGCCATCGGGCACTTTGTTTTGCATCAACAGTGGGATGCTGAGGTTCAGGTTTCTCTCTGACTGAGCGCCATTCTGCCACTGCTCAAGCTGCCTCCGGGAGTCTACAAGCAAGCGTTGGGAGATGTATGAGAAGCTTTGCATGAATTATATTAATACAGCCTTCCAACCATGAATAAACACACACAAACCCATATCTTCTAAATGTACCTTCGATGAGTTCTTTGACAGCCTGAGAATCCACGGAATCATTATCTTGAGTTACTTCTTGTGTCTTGCCTCCACTCCCCTCGCTCTGGCCCGCTCGGTCCGGCCTGTGCCAGCGGTTCTTCTGGATCAGCGGGATAATGAGCTCTTTGGGCTTCTCAGACGGTTTTGAGCTGCAGGACACAGAAATATTAGCGAGTTAGCAGCAGGCAGGGCCGCTTCAAAACAAGATTTACAAATCATTCTGTCCTGAATACGCCAACGTTATACACCTGCTTCACATTTGCTAACAACGTCTAAGTTAACCATTCAATAAATGTATATATAACGTTACCAGCTAACGTGAACTATATCAGAATCGAAACGTAACCGTTACGCCAATGCTAAGATTGTTAGCATTAGCAAACAGAGCCTACCTTAGCAATTCATTTCGGTCAATTCCGGTCAGGTAATCTCTTTCATCTTTCTTGGTCAAAGCGTCGCCACTCGAAGGTTTAAATTTGCTAACTGTTTTAGTAAAACCGAACGACACAGCCGGGTTTTTTTTCTCTCCTTTGTCCCCAGAAGGAACAGACTTGGAGGCACCCGTATCATCCCCGTGCGACGCCATTATTGTTTGTAACCGACAGAAATAGAAGAAAGGCATTCTGGTAGTTGTAGTTTTATTTTGCACTTATTTGATTCGTTTGAAATTACTACAATTCCCATTATGCATCAGAATTAAAGTTACAACGACCCATTCAGACAGTGTGGACTTAAGTTAAAGGTTTTGTCGCGTTGGTAGCATAGACTGTATATAGGTTGGTAGGTTCCTAGGTATAAAGACAGATGTGGTTTTCATATCTTAAGAAATAAAATACAATAGCTACTATGTGTGTCCTTGATATATAGGCTACTACTTGAAATACAATTTTGTGGATTCATTTCTCGAAACAGTAAATGCAATAGGCTCATCTAGGCTAATTTTCCATTTGCATTTTATGATCATTTTACATTTGTTGTATAATGTATGCCTATTGATTTTAATTTCATAAATAGGCTACCTTTCGATTTGAAATTTTTGCATATTTTATGGGCCTACTCTTGAAAACTATTTCCGATTCTGTTTTTCAAAAGTAGTAGCCTAGATGTTAGCCTACTGGTGCGTAGCCTATAGGCTGATATGGGTTATGTCCATATTAGCGCAATTGCATGACTGATGTTTCCTAAGAGGATCATTAAAGTTTTATTTACACAATACTCGCTGCTTTATAAACTTATAATGTGTTACTGTAACCAAACGACAATCATTACAAGTGGACAAATGTTGGAAATTGGGCTCACGTTTTACAGTCTATGGTTTTAATCTGGCTCTCACGCTTTTATATCCTGGTTAGAACTCGTATACGAAAAGTGATGCTGCTGATGCAGGTACAGAGAATAATAAGGGGCGGTACTTTTAACTCTTTTATTCCCTCCCCTCGGTGCTCCTTAACTTCCCTTATTTGCCCTTTTACCATTGTTTCTTTCCTTCAAAAGTGCCTTTTGGAAGCAGGAGCACCAACCTGGCCACACTTTCTACTAGACTGCACAATCCTTATCTTATAGCCTAATCCAGTCTTATCTTTGGCAATTGACGCTCCGCGCCCTGATTGCACTGCGCCTGCAGTTCCATGACACCTCCACCCGGTCAAATAGACATAGACCTAATCGACGTTTGTTTTTTTGTTTTTTATCGAAAGCTGAAAGAGAATAAACCAACATATGTAAGCTATCCGTAATTAATCAACCTGCACGATCTGCCAAACGAAGACTATAAGGACGGATTTGACGAGGGGAAAGCGATCATGAAGGTAAGACAGTCCTCATAGTCAAATTAAAGTCCAGCACTTATTGTTCAATAGGCAGAGACACTCCCCACAAGTTAAACAGCACGTTTGACCATGACATTTATCCATCCTCCACGTTGTTTTGCCTATAGCAGTGCAGCAGCTGCTAAAATTGTAAGCGGCCGCTGTCAGATTTGCCCGATATGTCTGTGTGCATGTGTGTGTATTCCATAACGTTAGACCGTAGTGTATTCCCACTCTCCCTCTCGCTCTCCCCACTCTCTCTCTCTCTCCTCTCCCTCTACAAGATCACCACATCTCTCGGAGCATCACTGTCCAAATATCCCGTCAGCCGTGCACATCGCCTCTGACTTTCTTTGGGATACGGTGGTACCATATACTCATCACTGCATTTCCATATTGCTTACTATCACACGCACCCACACCAGGCTGCTGCTTATTAACCAAGCAACTCGTATTTTCCAGGCTTATTGTTTAACCTCAGTCGGGTCAATGTATATAGACGCGTTCAAACGGATCCTCTTTGAAAGGCTGAACTGCTTGAAAAGAATGTGTGTGTGTCAGCGCCAAGGCAGGTCAGTATTTTTCCCGAAATATGAGAAATTTGAGAATTTGCTGTATGTAACCCAAGTGTGTGTGTGTGTGTGTGTGTGTGTGTGTTTTGGGAGGGGGGGGCAGCTCAGATCTGTGTGTAAGTGTGTGTGTGTGTAAGAGAGAGTGAAGAATATGAGTTTGAGATGGCAGATCTCAGGGATAAGAGTGTCATTTTGACAAATGAAATATGGCTTTTAACACTTGTGATAAGTGTGTAGGTGTGTGTGCATATGAAGTCATGATTAGGTTTGAAAAGTTTGTTGAGACCTTTTTTTGTAAATGCATCATTTTTTTTTAACAATCTCCTGCTCCAGAATGTCTGTATACAGAAGCCTTTGTTCAATTACAAATAGATTGACTTGCAAAATGTACTTTTTAGTCCACAGCCAGGTGTGTGTGAACACATGTGTGTAGGAGTGCCTTGCAGTTCTCTCTGTCTGCGTTGTTGCTGTTTGCTGTTTGTTTAGGGTGTGTCTCTGCTAGATACAGGGACCTTTTTTTAAGTGATGGATGTGTGACCCTGACTTAATAGTGTGCATTGCTCTGGGTTTCGAGAGCAGTCAAGGTTATGCTGTTATGATGAATCATTAATTTGAGAAAGAGAAAGAGACATGCGGTGTTTTTCCTCACATGGTCTCAAGTTGCTCTGGTCCTCACACTGTATGTTAATTTCCTCTCATGTATGAGCCCATCACAATAACTAAGCAAAGCCTTCTGATTTTATTCTGCATTTGTCCTCCTTTGATTCAGCTTCTCAGCCCAAGTTTGAACCGCCAGTAAGTGGAAATTCATGTCAACTTACAAACATGACTCCGCTCTTGCTGCTATGGAGAAGGGAGGATGAAGTGAGGTGCATTTCTTCTCTGTCGTAGTAATGCATGTCAGCTGGGAGTTGTTGATTGTCTAATTATGTACCTCCTGTGTCCTTCGGCATCATGCATATTCATGCTGTTGTTTAAAGGTGTGGTGAAAACAAAGTATGCATGTGTGCGTGTGTGTGTGGGCTATGTTGTGCGTGTTCCTGTGTGCCAGGCAGTTTACCCTTGACAGGGCAGGGCCACGCAGGCATATTCTCCCATCTGTGGTCTAAACCTTTGCTCCCAGCCACTACATTTGGATTCTGCAGTTGTAGCCTGCTCTATTCTTAGTTCTCAACAGTTCATGTGGAGTCTGATATGAAATTTCAACAACAACAACAACATTCCCATGCTGTAACTGCCACTCGTGTCCCTGCCTACATACACTGAGATTCAATTTGGATTGTATAAGCCGCTGTTAAGTGGTTACACTCTGACTGAGGTGGCAAATCAATAACTAATCAATGATAGTGTGTGGAGTTACAATTTAACAGTGCCATATTTGAAATGTCAAGAAGGCAGTGGATCCATGTATCCTTGAGTCAGATCTGAGTTGGACGACTCAGATCAATATCAGGTAGTGAGACAGGCAGCAGGAGCAGGCGAGGGTCACCTTCACCCATCCCTACTGAATCAGCAGTATCTCTCTTACACTCACACACACACTTGAACACACACACACACTTGGACACACACACATACTTGCAGGCCTGCTTAGGTTACCAAACTGCGACCTCACAAAAATGCTCATTATAGTGTACTGACCCGCCCCTTCATTTCCTTATGAATTATTAATTTTGTTATTATGATTTCAGCCACTCTTTCATAAGGTTACTGTGCCCTCCTCTGTGTTGATTCTACTATTTTATTCCATTTTACTTTAAGACTGGCACCAACTCTATTTTCTGTATCATCCTCTTTTTAATTTTCCTAATTTATCCCTGCTTTCCTCATTGCTCTCTGTCTTATCCATCATCTTTTGTTGAGAAGATGATCTGCTCTGTTTAATTAAACTGCTCTCCCTTCCTCTTCCTGATGAGAGCTCATCTCTGATCGCAGAGGAGGTGGGGGGGGTTGTAATGCATCCTGGCAGATTGAGGAAGAGGACCTGTTGTCACAGTGGTATTCCTCAGAAGAGAAGAGTGTACCGATGCCCCCACTAATGTGCCCCCTTCCTTGACCTTGATCCTGTGATGTTACAGATAACATTACCCCAAAGGGAACATCAATGAGCCCGTGTTATCCTCTCAGGTGTGTGTGTTTTTGTGTATACTGTATGGGTTCAACAATATTTTAATCCTACACTAAGTCCCTTTGTATGCAGTTGGAATATATTGTGGATTTGTTGATGGCGTGCAGAAAACAGTGAATGTATTTCTGTAATTCTTATCAGCTTTTTCATGTATTGAGTTTATATTTAGTGTGTAAGAGAGAGAAAACATTTCTGTGTGTGTGTGCGCCCCCGTGTATGACGGCGGGAGATATTTTGTGTTTTTCAACCAACAAGCATTTAATCTTTTATTTTTAAATCTGCCACTGCTGTCTGTTTTGTGTTGAGCACTCCCGTGCCCTAGATTTGGAAGTGAGTGAGCATCAGGGAGCTTTAGTGCACCCCACGTTGCCTGCACAGTTTGGTAGAAATGTTCGGCGGGAGAGGTCAAGGCACAGATGTCAGATAAGATGGTGAAGTTGGAGCTGCGAGAACGCTCTCCTGCGTTTTCCGTCTGCCTGCCACATCACCGGTTTTAGTTCAGATAAATTTTAAGCTCTCCAGTTATTTAAGATGCCTTACTTGTCTGACCTCCAACACTACCCACTGGAGGATGCTGTGAGATTAGGAGCAGTGTGCTTCACTACAGGTCAGAGTGAAAAGATGAGCTGAGTGTTCGATGTGTGGGATGGGTTCAAGCGGAGGGTTTGTTTTCCTCACCCGCCCAGCACTTTGTATAAAGTACCTCCTTTATAACTAGAGGTCCAAGATTTTCATTATGCAATTTTTGTCAAATCATCAAATTGCTTATTTCATTTGATCGACAGGCCAAACCCCAAAAATATTAAATTTAGAGCTGATATTATCGATTTATTGATCAGTTAATCAACAGAAAAGTAACCAGCAACTATTTTGATAATCAGTGAATCGTTTAAGTTATTTTTCAAGTAAAAAATGCCAAACAGCTGCAGGTTCCAACTTGTCAAATGTGCAGGATTTTTCATATAGGATAGTGACTTTTAGGCTTGTGAGATAAAACAAGACATTTAAAGACATCACCTTGGTCACTGAGGAGTTGTAATGGTCATTTGTTGACATTTTATAGACTTAAATTGATTAACCGACAAAGTAATCAGCAGATT